ATAAAAAAAAACAGGCAGGCCCTGACAGAGGGGGGGGGGGGGGGAAGTAAAGCCAAAACCAAAAAAATCTCTTACAAACTATAAAATACTTCTGCATCAAATCTTTCCAGGACAAAAATAAATAAATAAAATATTCACACAAAGAAAACACCACCATCAGCTTACAACAGAATGGAAAACAGATGATGAAACTACTAATTTCATTAAAGGGTAATAGGAATCTGCATGGTGAAAATTCCTAGATGTTTCAAAGGAGTAAACCATACACCTTCTTGCAAAATGAAATGCAAAAACACTCAAGTTTCCTAACCAAAATGACATGACAAGAATCTTCTTCCAAAACCAAATCTGCCAAACAAGTTGTCTCCAAATACACAAGCAAGTCTCATTAACTAGGCACTCAAGAGGCCAGACCACATTAGCTAATTTCTCACCACCAACCACAGAAAAGCTTCAGTCTCAGAAGAAGGAGAAAAAAAAGGAAAAAAACAAAACACAAAACACTAAAAAAAAACCCCAAAAACACACACACCCTCTAGATCAAAGAACTTTTTTCACGGCCTTCATGTTTGCTTTCAACAATCTACAGTTACTCATAGTCCTAACTGCTCTATGTTTACAGGACACTATGAGCTACTCTAACTCCTCCTTTGGAGCATGAGCACATCAAACATTCAAATGTTCAGGCGGATTAAAAGTTTCCCTAGCTTCTAGATTTCTCAGTCACCTCAGGGAAGTCAGCTTTGTTCTTGTTTATGAAGTATAAGCCCTGAATGCTGGTATTGATACACGACAACTGATAGGAGTACATGAGCAGCCTTGGGACCTCCCTCTTAGAGCACAGCCCAAAGCCAGAACAGTTTAAGTTATCTTGAAACCCAGCTCATAAACTCTGTTTAGAGCAAAGTCCTCAGCTACATAAAAGGCATGAGAAGAATTACAGAAGACAGTTAAGTAGAGAGTTATAAACTTTTATAAGATCAGATGACAAAGAAAAAAAGTAATCAGACACACAACCTGCACAGATGACAAAGCAGCATCCCTAACTAAATACAGAAGGGAGGAACATACCCAAACAAGAAATTCTTACATCAGTCAGGAGGGAATTCTGACAGCAACCTCTGCAGTCTGCCTAGTCAGAAAAAGTTATCTATTTCTGGCCATGAAGCAATAGGGCAGCACAGAAAGTCCTGAAAGAAGCCAGAATAGCTCAAGCTCAGTGTCTAGTGTAGTCACCTGGTAGAGGGAGATGGAGTTTCAAATTCCTGATTCATGCAATTCACAGAAGCAGCCAGTCATCAACATCCTGTGCAAGCTGCACAGCCAACCAATTCCTAGTACTTGCCTGCTTTCAATGAACAGATCTAAAGCATTTCATCCTGCTGGCATCACAGGAAGAATTCCCTGTTCTGAATCCCAGTTCAGCCCCAGCTTTTGTCTGAAGTACTCAACAGCAACTGAGCAACTTGGAGACGTCTCTGGTATGCTAAGAGATGATGTGCACACTCAGGCTTCTTCAGGAATTGCAACCTATGATTAAAAAAATACTATTTTGCACATTCCAAGTGTTTTTTTTAGAAAGCAGTATGTCCAGAATTTCAAATGCAATCCATGAATTATAATTACTTGCCTGGATCTCTCCAAGTCACCTGTCTTAAAGAAGGGTAAATAAAGATCAACCATAAAGCACTATTTGCCATTTGTACTAGTGGTTCTAGGAGTCGTTACTGGCTTACAGTTCACTTTTACACAAATACTGGTCACAGAAACTGCCTTCTGGTGTCACCCTACACCCTAACAAAAAACAAAGGCCAATCTCACACCACTATTCTTCAGAGCAGAAAATGACTTCGGCAACAACAAAATGCATTTTATCTTGTACAACTCAGCAACAGAGGAAGCCACACAAGTCCCAAAACCTTGGCCAAATCCCAAATAAAACGTGAGATCTTAGTTCTAGCAACAACACCTGTGATGTGGCATATATAACTGAGCTGGGACCATGAGAGTCTCCTGGCTGTACCAAAGGTCCAAACATTGTAAAAGTCCTAACATACAAACACCCACACTGCATACCAGAAAAAACTTTGTAAGAGGAAGCTAAGAATGCTGAGGATCTCAAAGATAGCCACTCTAATTGGTAAGAGCAATAATACAGGGAAAGAAAACCCATATAAAGTTTGTGATTAGTCAATCTGACAAAAACATTTAAACAATGCACCAACACTGAATTTTTCTTGCCAATGATATATGCCCAGTGTGGTATAGACCACTGAGGTATATTGAAACCTCAGTACTTCCAACTTCTACTTCTCTCAGCTGTCACATTTTTAAAAAAGCTACAGTTAAGAAAAACTGTCACAGTTTAA